AATTAGGTTGTGTATAAGGTTAAAAACAATTCTTGAGGCTCTTTACAAACCAGTCAGCCCAAAGACTCTAACACTTTGACGCCCAGCCAGGTGGAGGCCTACCTGAGAAGAGCTGCTTGGTGGGTGCGGAGATCTGGGCCTTCTTGGTGATGCGGAAAGCATGATCGGGGCTGCTGGAGCGACGGGATGTGCAGAAGCCAGGGACCTTCTTCACACCCTCAGGCAGAGAGGGAACCTGCAGAGCCCGTAACACATCGACCGGGTCTAATGACAAAGAAACAAGCAAAGAAAACAGTCATTACAGTTATTTTTAAGACGTGACGTTCACTAAGTAAACAAGTAAAATCTTAAGGCTGATGGTTTAGTTGCTAGAAATACTGCAAAATGACTCTAAATCAGCACCTTACACACAGTCATCATTAACACAAACTGGTCTGTGGAGCTTTGAAAACAATGGAAACTAAAGAGATAAAATCTGAATTACAGCTTTTTCTGCACAGAGTACTTAACTCTTTTTCTTGAGTGAGAAAAAAAAACAGCCTCACACGTTGAACGATTACTCCACAGCAGACCTAAATATTGTAAGTTCAGCTGTTTCCTCTAATAGCTTTCTGGAAGGCTGTCCATCCTGTAAGCTGTATAGAAATAACTGAAAAGACCTTTTTAATATTGCCAAATATTTTACAAAAAAGGGCAGTTTTATTTTTCATTGCAGTCATTCTTTGCAATTTTCCCCAGAGAATCAAAAAGGTCGATCTCAAATGTTCTCGAATCACTAATGTGATATAGGATCAGGTCCAGCAGATGCCCACAATGGCCGCCACTGTACATGTAGGTTTAATGTAAGAAAGGAGGCCCTGTGTCAGAGCGAGCGGGCGGCGGTCCAAGCCACATATATGAAGCAGTGCAGGGCAGGTACAGGAAAGCTCAGTTTAATGCAGAGCGCAGACAGTGGCGTCTATTCTGCTCGCGCTTATCGAGCAGCTGAAACAAGCGGCTGTTGACGTGATCGCGCTGAGTCAAACGAAGATTTGTCTGACACCACACAATCATTTCACAGTCCCCCCTGACACGTACACGCAGGAATGCACGCGCTCGCTCGACAAATATTCAACACATACCTAAACATCGTACAATCACACACACACACAGCCTCACATCCCGTCTCCACATCGGAGGTCAGTCAGTCTGTTTCTGCGGCTGACTTTCTCACATTGCTCAAAGGCACTGTGTCATTGAGGAACCTCTGGGGTTCAGGGTGTGATTCCCTTTATGATTAATTTTAACAAACAGAACTGTAACAGCAGAAGCAGAAGTGCTTCAACCTGCTCCCTGTACATCAGGAATATTTCTGCTTAAAACCAGAATCCTTGAAGTATTGTATTTGTATTATTGGCATGTTTTAAGGCTGGATAGTTTGATATTTATAATACTTGGTGTTGAATCCTAAAAAGGCTGCTTGTTTGCAGCATCAGGGAGACGTTATACTGTCACTGTAGCAGGTTCAGAGGTTTTTTATTATATACAAATCTACATGATTCTCATTTAAAGACTTAAAAACATAACAGTGAAGTTTGTTTCCTATGAAATGCTCAGAGCTGCTGGGAACTCTGCTGTCCACTTAGATAGAATAATAAATACACATGGCACAAGTGCTGCCAAGGCGTGAAAACAACTGGCCTGCATAAAAACCCAGTGAAGTCTAATTATAAAG